TTTGTTGGGAGAGATTTGTTTCAAATAACATGATGGGACCCTTGTATTCTCTTGTGCTTAGTTTCCTGTAAGCCTTGACATTTCTTTGTAGACTTTACTATGTGTACGTTTTTCACCATTTGCATCTAATTGCCTTCTGTTCTAACTTGTACATGACACTCAACTTTTTGCACGTGTCCTCCACCACTGTAGTTAACAGCTGACGCACTTTCTGCCCCATCCCTTAACCTATCTGCTGCCTTCTCTGTCTACACAGGTCTCTGCTGAGCATACAGAAACACCCTGTCAAAAATGCCCGGTATCCCAGCCTGGCCAGTCTCTCAAAGGGAGCCATTGTCTCTCTTTTTCTGAATCACAAGCGTCAGTTCTTTCTTAGGCAGCAAGTTGAGGGATTGTAAGACAAACATCATCACTCTGGACGAGAATTTAAAGGAAGAAATCATCCCCGTCAGGTGCCAGGGGTGCTCAGAGAGTGTCCCCACTTGGCTTCATTGCAGTTGCAGATGTTGCACTGAGCCTAATGGATCTTGCATTATAGCATTATGCTGTAATTATCAAACTGTAGTTTGTGTATTATCAAAATCAGTACTAATTGTCTTGACAGTACCTTGTTTTTTGGATGGTTGTTGCAATAATGTATTACCTATAGTTAATGACAGCAATTTTCACTTTAAATTTAGCTCAGTATCAATTAAAATGTTAAGGAAAAAGAAATGAGGTATTACTCATCCTAGTTGGGCCACAAAAATTCCACTAAAAAGTCAACAGGCTGAGGTGGATGTGAGATTTAAAAATGATGACCCAAAGGAATATTAACTTTGAGCCCTTGTAGGTAAGTTGCTGCATTGTCATCATAACTGTTAGGCATGGTTGGGGATGTACATGCATGTGCAGGTAATGACATATCTTTACAACGCTGTTAATGCCATTCATGGACAGCACTCTATTGTAGGCTACACCTCCTGAAACTTCACTGAGTGTGGATGCAAACTGTTATGGAAAAACAAACATATTACAGTTTTGACACAGTTACAAAAAATGCATATGTTAGTGCAGCTGTCATCATTTTTTTCTCAGCTGCAAGGTGAAAAAAATGGTCAAATACTCTCGTGTGAATGCAACACAATGCATGCGTGAAAGGATCCGTTGTGTAAGCCAGGTAGTATTTAATAGGTCATTTACTGATGCATATACCAGAAAATACCGGCAACGACTTATAACAATACCCAAACAAAAGAAGTTGCTAGGAAAAAGTCTATGTGAGTAACAAACTGGAGCTCAGGATGGAATCATCGACATCATTCGGCAGTAGAAACAGGAGCCAGCTGGACCCACTGGTTTACGTGCGTGTGTAGTTTTGATGCAGTCTGCACACAGGTCTCATGAGGAATGAAGAGATGTGTTTAAGTCTGCAGTTATTGCAGTAGTTCACAAATCTCCTAAAGAAATAACTTTTGCAGCTACAGTAGAAGAGGTAGACCAAGTCAGTATTTTTAAACATAAAAGTGTAATGACCCACCCAAATAGTATATGACTGTAAAGCTAGAACCCTGTAGCACATAGTATTTGTAAGCATATCCCCTTCACCTCCACATGAGCTGCTATAGATTTGTTAGTGCTGACAACCATATGAGTGGCAGACCCACTGCAAGTGAACAGCAGGCCTCCAGCAGCAGTAGCTAAAGAAACCACTGTCAAAACAGTGTGGCCCACATGTTTCAACTACGTGAGGAGTAGCTCTTTTAAAAACCACCAGTCTATGTGATAAGAGGTTCCTTACTTATACATTTCTGCTTTTCATGATGACAAGAAGATAAACAGCAGACTGCTTACAGGGTCCCAGTCCAGCCTCATCACAGTCGGCTCTTCAGACCACAGCCGTTCAGCTCTTTGTCTGTTATTAGCCTGATGCATGGGCTCAACCCTCAGGGTTTCTTTCTGTCAGCTTTTCTCTGACTTCACACTCGCTGAGGTAATAAAAGTTCTTCCAGGCTAGATAAAGACAGGCTATTTTTGCTAGGTGCAGATTTACTAAAGGCTGTGTTTTTCTCTCTACATTGTCCAGCTTCATTATGACCACATGGGAGAAAAAAGGTGTTTATCCTGGCAAGACCGTAGCTGTGCAACAGTTGGCCTGTGGACTGGGCTCTGGAAGAAAGCGACAACTGGTGATTTAAAGGTCAAGGGGTGACATGGGAGACGAGGAAAGTGAGGCGCCTACAGAGAGGAGAAGCACAGTAAGTGTGTTTGGGGGCATTTAGGGGGTATTTAGGAGGCTCAGGGGGGTTTAAAGTCTTGTGTTACATACTTCTTATTTCCTATCCTCATTTCCTTCTTCTTGTCTGTCTGCTGAGGATGACTGTGTGTGACCTGTGTGTAACCTTGGTCTGCATACGTGTCTGCAGCTGTGCATTCACACACTTCATTTGATTATGCCATTGAGTCAATGATTCATGTAAATTTGTTACATCAGTACAAGAGGTAGAATGACTCTGCTTCTGGAGCAGATTTTAATGTTTGATTACTAAAATAAAAGCAGGATAGATCATTAAAAAAAAACTAATTTATTGTTCAGCCAACTTGTGCCAGATCTGAGGTTAAACCACAGACATTTGACAAGGAATCAAAGTAAAAGAAAGGAAACAAAGTAGAAAACTAGGAAACCAGAAATATTCACAGATAGAGTGGTATCAGTCTGAAAAGCAACAAGTGACACTACTGAGTCCTGTCCAGGAGATGGCATGATGGCAGCATGGATCTGACCCAGATGTGCAGAGACCACAGCTGTGGGAAACATGACCGCATGGACATACTGAGGGCATACAGTATATATATATGACATACATATACTGTATATGAGCAATACATGGGACAACAACCACAGGAGCAGCTGAATGTACACACACTAACATTTAGATAAGCATGTATTGAGGAACTGAATGTTGCTGACTATGCCAGTCTTGCCCCAGACACAGGATGTTGCATCTGTGCCATGCTAACTGCTGGCACTGAAGAGACTGAAGGGCAGAAGGCCGTCAGGGTCATGTGATGCAGAGAGCAGGGTTGTTTCAGAGAATCTCACAGCTGGGAATTAACCAGCACATTTGCCGAAATGCTGATTAATTTGCGTTGCCCTTACAAATAGCCTAAATAAGAAAAATGAAATGAAATAAATGTGTTCATAAATTGGTCCTCAATTCCTAAAATAATAATGATTAAAAAAAGAAGCTTCTGTGAAACCTACACATGGAAATGTGGACTAAAATACTACATGATACCTGATAATACATGATCATAAATACTTCTAGTAAGATATTCTATCAGTGACCACAGTACAGTAGTGTTTAATGGCTGTGTAAGCTCTGAAAAACAGCACAGCTTTTAGCGCCTTAATTACAATCAGTTAATAAGTGGTTGCATTTTAAAACAACACAAATTGTAACATTTACATGTATGTGATGGAATTTCCAAAGAATCTTTTTGATCAAATAAAGCAGAATGATCAATAAATGTTCCAACAAATAAATCTAAGTAATTATTTTAAATTTAAATTTGGGGTAAACACATTAAACTGTAAATGAATTTGTTTTTTATAAGGCTCCAAACTCTTCCTTTGTGTTGTTGTTTACCTGTGTGTCTTCATGTTCTCACAGTTCCTTCTGCTTTAAGATGTTGGGTCACACTAAATAAGAATGTGTACTTTTATTCCTGTGACACAAACCTCAAACCGTATTCACTGATGTTACGATTCCTCCTTTTTGTTTCACTTTAAAAGCCACAGTAATTGTTGACATTACTTTTTACAATAACAGAAAAACTGAGAAGTGTTTTACATCTTAACTATTGTAAAACGAACGTGTTTTAAAAATTTTTCAACTGTAGGACAATGATATTTGCTGTCATCCTGTTTTATTTGAACAACTTTGGACTGAACTCTGTCTGATATACATTATATCAGTTTAGGGAATTTCCTCCACGGTCTATCTCCAAGAGAGGGAGGTCAGAAACCATATAAATGAAAACAAATGTCTGTTTCACCACCTGGACGGTAGCTCAGAAACCCCATGGTATGTTGTTTTAGCCAAAATGACCCGGGAAGGCGGCCAGCTCAATAGCTGGGGCTATGAACACTGGGAAGGTTGTGTATCAGTGATGCACTGCCCAGAAAGTGTTTCCATCATGAATCAGACGGTATTACTGCCACATGGGTCCATGCTGTTTATTTTAAAGAAACAACAGTAAAACTTATCAAAAGTCTCACAACGCTGGCTTTTCTGCACTATTTGTGTTCTAATTGCTTATATCTGTGTTCTTGTTCTGAAGAATGTGTTCTTGTTTTTTGTGCAGTGCATGTTAGGATGACAAATAACTTCCACCCTGAACATCACCGACCGGTCGTTTTCTTGTTCTTGAATATTTACAGTCAGTCCACACTTTACATTTAAGCCAAACTACAAGTCAGTATGAGTTCAAGTACCTTCATCAAATTTAGTAATTGTGATGTTTTTTTCCCATTAATAAGAAATATTAACAGATAATTTGACATTTTTATTAATGTAGAACATTGACAGAGTTACATAAGAAGTGGAAGTGTCACAATAATGGTGACTCGAGGTGTAAGAAGTGAAAAAGAAGAAGCACATTAGCTTGTTAGAACAAGGAAGCATCACAAACAGTATATATAGTAACGTAACACTTTAACCCAAAAAACCTGAAAGTTCATGTGTGCAACAGCACCTCAGGAGGTATAATGACCATCAAATGTCCTTTACCATGCGTCTTTCCTGCATATAGCATGTCGTTTGCTTCTGTTCAACTTATTGTTCACCTACCGCAAATTAATTGCTCCAATTAATAAACTGAAGTGAAATTCCTGAGACTATTAAAATATATTTTGAGATGTGATTTGCAAACTTGCCACATGACAGGAAAAGGAAAGGAGAAGGCAAAGAGAAAGTCTTCCTGCTCCTGTTTATGCATCACAGATTACACACACAAACACAGACAGATGGTTGGTGTCAGGTCACATTTCTTACAGAACAGAGAAGCAAAAAGAGCCAGAAGGAGCTGACACTTTGACGGACTCCGCTGACACATAGCAGCAAAATTAACAGGTTGGTAACTAAAAGATGTTGAAACTGACTTTGGTTTTAGTCTTACCGCACATTTTGTTAAATATATAAAGGCATGAAAACCAGATGTAATATAGTGATAAATACTGCATTTAGTAATTTTGAATTTTTATATTATAAAAGTGCTCATGTTATTTTATCCACATTTTATGCATGTAATTGTAAAAACGTCATGAAAATGGTTCAAGTGTTGTTTTTTGTTTACTTTTTGCGCAGTTTTTAGAGCACACTGAGAACAACTTTATCTGGAATTTTTAGACAACACTCATGGAGCAAAACAGCACTTCCCCCCTGTTCCCTGGCAACCACAGCCACGGCAACAGCACCTGTTCCCGAGACAACGTTTTGAAGACGGTGGTTTTTCCTGCCCTCTACTCCGTCCTCTTCCTGCTGGGGCTGTCTCTCAATGCCATGGCGGTGTGGGTGTTCTTTCGCATCCCCTCACAGTCTCACTTCATTATATACCTGAAGAATATTGTGATTGCGGATATCATCACGACCTTCACATTCCCATTCAAGGTTTGGTTTAACTGATGCTTTTTACAGGACTTGTGGGATGCTTTAGAAAGGGTTTATAATGGTATTATTTATGTTAGTGAACCACTCCTAATACATTAGTTATACATCAGTCATACAAAAGTCTTGGTCGCCAAGTTGTGATGAGTCTTTCATATTCACGTCATTAATAAAGGCTCACTGGTATAAGTGTTAAACAGTAAAATACTGTGTTTCTGCAGGTGCTATCGGACTCCAACCTGGCCTCCACTGGGCTGCGTATATTTGTGTGTCGATTTTCCTCGGTGATGTTCTACCTCACCATGTATATCAGTATCCTCTTCTTCGGCCTCATCAGCATCGATCGCTGCAGGAAGACCCTCAGACCCTTTAAGGGGACTAATGCAGCCAGGCTGGCCCATCGGAAGCTCCTTTCAGGGGCCATCTGGATCATTCTGTTTGCTCTGTGTCTGCCCAATGTGATCCTGACCTGTAACACTCCAAAGTCTAAATACTTCAAGTGCAGTGATCTGAAGACGAAGGCTGGGCTGTACTGGCATGAGGTGGTAAATCATGTCTGTCAAGTCATTTTCTGGGCCATCCTGGTGACTGTAGTAGTGTGTTACACTTTAATCACCAAAGAACTGTACAAATCCTACTCCCGCATTAAGTCTCACAACACTCCAGGGACTATATGTCAAGCACCAAGCAAGGCAACAACTCAGAAGCCCCACCAGAGCAAAAGAAAAATGAATGCAAATGTATTCCTGGTTCTGGGGGTGTTCTTCGTGTGCTTTGTGCCGTTTCATTTTGCCCGTGTGCCGTACACCATGAGCCAGACCCGAGGGGTTCTCTTTGACTGTAAACTCAGGCTCTTCTTCTTTCAGCTGAAGGAGAGTACACTCTTTTTTTTAACTCCCTTCTGGACCCTCTCATCTACTTTTTCCTCTGTAAGTCCTTCAGGACCACTCTGTTCAAGACTCTGCAGCTGTCTCCAGGTACCTGTAGCTGGCTAACAGGGAGAGGGTCAGACTCGGACATAGAGACGCCCCCTGTGAGAAACTCCTCTGCCTCTACATAAAAACACTGAACACAGCAAAGACCTGTGGTGGCTGAGTGTGCACGCTCTGTGACCAGATTAGCTTGAGTTGATTATAATGTGCCCTGCTGGACCTGGATCAAATCCTAACTAAATATTAGTAAGTGACAGACACAGTGATGTATTTTCATTTGCAGTACTCAGCGTGGTGACCGGGATTGCAGTTTGTCCTAGAGGTGAGAATGAAACGTCACGGCACATATCTGTGTTCATGATAGTCACAAAATGATCCTAATACCATGTCTTTAAAAACTGCAGGTTTAACATTGTAACTAACAGCAATCAGTTTCTTTTTTGTTGTGTGGGAAAACACTGAATTTCCAGTAAAAGATGTTCAAACATATAAAAACAAAAAATACAAATATCTGCTGATTGTTTTCCTTTCTGTTCCCTTTTCTAATCAATAACACGTTTCTCTTCATATTCTTGAAAAGAAGAACTGTGAAGTATTTTTTTTCAATAAGCATCCATTTCATTTCAAGGACACACATGATAAAAAAAAATTGTCTACCTACATAAAACTAAGTCGTTATAAATTGTCACAGCCATAAGCATTAAACCATTTACAACATCATTTTCCAGACCTAACCAATCCTGAACCCTACTCTCACCCAAGCAAAAACAGATGTGTGGCCTGACACACAGCATCTGCATTGTATTTGCTCAGGTGAAGTAGTGGCTGGTCCAACTGGCTTGTAATGGCAGTCACCTCTGAGAGCGAGGTCCACTCAGCTGTCCAACCACTGACACTGTTTTAATAAGACTGTCTAACAAAAGAAGAATATACTACTAACAGCACCAGTATGACTCTTTGAGCTGAAAATACAGCATCTGACTCATTTCATTTACAGGATGAATGTGTTAGGTATTTTTAGTCAGATAGAAATTGGATAGATACTTTATGTATTAGAAATGTTTAGTGGAGATAGGATGTCTAGTTAGACTGTTAAATGCTTAGTCATGCTTATGAGTTTCTACAGGGTACATCTGGTCAAGGATAACTAGAGAGAAGAGTTGATGACTGTCAGCAGACAGGGTGTTTAATATTATTATTATGATGTGTATAACTGTAGCCTTAGCCATAATATGTTCTTATGTTTAAGTCACGACATGTTACTAGAGGTCATGTGAGAATGTTTTTAGTTATACACCACTTAATCAACAGACACACACACACATTGATTTGCTTCCTGTTTTGACTACTGCTATGACCAGCTGCAAAGCTGGTAACAGAGACGTCCCGGTTGACGTTTCTGTGTAGTATGGGGCTAGCCCAACCAAGGGGATATAATATATAGGCCTGGTGGGCTCAGGGTCTTTCATCTTTCATCTGCCTGCGTGCAGGTTGGAGGTGCAAGATACCTGAGCGTGTAATGTTAATTTTACCTGTGATCCTTTGAATAAATCATCACTGTTTTGAAGTTACTTGGACTGTCTCGTCTCTCAGAGTTAGCAATGGTAAGAAGAACCAGTCCTTCAATGTCTTGCTGGGAATGTATTTAGAGAAAACAACTTTGCAAACTCAAATCTTTGGTATTAATTGTCGCACCTCCAGCACATTTGGAACCTGGAGAATTACCTTGTTGTTGAAAGAGAGACATTGCTTCACTCTAGCCTGAAAGCACACAGCTGACCGCAGCGTGTGTTGTTTGAATCCCCTTTTCCCTCCACAGCAGCTCACTGTTCACAGATTTGCATCTCACTGGTTGAAGAGGATGAAAGAGGTTGCGAACGATCTTGCAAAGGTGTTCATCTCCCAGGCTGCACAGTGTGGCATAAAGGGGATAACCATTCTTGGTGAGTGGCTTATTGTTTTTCACTATGTTCTGAAAACGTTGGTTCTTCAGATTAGAACGAGTCCCTGAGGGAATCAAACAAATGTTACTTGGTTAGAAGAAGAAGCATACTCAGTCTATATGCTTTCCTCAAGAGCATTTCAGCATGCCTTTGGTTATGTTCTGTGTGTTTGTGGCAGAGAAGAAGAACCAAGTGTGCTCACTACACTTTTGCGCAATGTAATAACCTTAAACACAGGCTTTGCTCTGTCTGTGGAGGGGAAGAGTTGTCTTTACTGTCACAGTGAACAGTGGAGATGATGTGAGGATATACAAAAAAATCATAATTTAGTTTTTTTTGTACTAAAATAAAATGTTATTGCTCAGAAGTGTTAAATTAGTGCTCCTTGATTCATTTAGATCATGGTGTAGCCCATTCTATTTATATTCACTGATATACTAATTTAAATTTAACTGCACAAATGTCACTGAATATATAACATTTCAAGGGCATTTACACTTTACAGTAAATACACTGATGGAATGTAAATCCAAGTGAAAAACTTCACAATAATACCTATTAAACCCAAATGAATTACAAAGTAAATGAGAACATGCAGCGTTAAAGAAACTGTGTGCAGCAAGGACAGCACCTCAGAATCCCAAAGATGTCCTTAAACTCTGGTGCTGTAGATGTGGTGATACTGCTGTGTTTGTGTGTGATAATTCAGTGTGGTGAAACCAAATCCAACAGTTGCATAACTTTATTTATTCAGTGTGAAAAGTGGAAGTGTCAGGTTCAGCATCCAGGATGCATTCAAATGCTCTGGCTGAGCATTCAACCAAATTATAAACGCATGTATTTTAAATGAGAGACAAATGCAAATCAGGTCCAGCTGTGCAAGATGGAAAAATCTATGGCTGCAGTAGTTCTGAGTTTCAGGCGAGTACAAGGAAGGGGCCAGGTCTGGCAAAACTCTGCCCCCTGGACCTCACCCAGTCATCTCCTCTGAAAGCCTTCAGATTTGGAAGACTCCACCCTAAAACATGCTATTTTGTCACATCACTATTTGCTGCTCCAGTACATAAAATAATGTGACTGTAACCATGAAGCAATTGAAAAAGATCTGCTCATTTCCCTTACAAATTTGTGGAAAAGTAGTTAGGAAATCTGACTTATGTGTATGCCTCTGGTCTACAAGCCCTATAGAGCTCACTGCTGATTTTCTATCCCTCCAGTTGATCACAGAAAAAAAACTGCTTCAGGCTTAGAAAAAAACTGTTATTCTTTGATTCATGTATAGTTTTTTTATTTCAGATTTGATGATGCTGTCCAACAAAACATCACACCTCTTCTCTGAATGTGCTCCTTTCAACCCTGACCTCATCAATGTGGCTGTCAGCTGCCTCTTCTTCTTCTTGTTCCCTTTTGCGTTACTGCTCAACGGGGTGGCGGCATGGGTCTCACTGCACGTCCGCTCCACCTCCACCTTCATCGTATATGTTAAAAACCTGGTGGCTGCCGACCTGCTGGAGACTGTGACTCTCCCAGTGCTGGCAGCTAGCATGTTACCTGGAGCAGCTGATACGTTACAATCATTTGCCTGCCGTTACTCTAATGTAATATTCTACAGCTGTTTTTACACAAGCATTACATTAATGGGTCTTATCAGCCTGGACCGATTCTTCAAAATTGTTAGACCATGTGGAAAGGTGCTGGGACAGAATGTAATGTTCAGTACTGTCATGTCCACCTTGGTTTGGGTGCTGTTATTTGGCGGCACAGCTATCCCAACCATGATTCTAACTGACCAGGATCCTGTTAACACAACAGGAGATTTCTGCATGTCACGCAAAGGTTCAGCCGGTCTCACTCTTCATGCAAGTGTGGTTCTTTTTATGGAGCTTCTTTTCTGGCTTGTCAGTGTACTGATTGTGTTTTGCTACATTGGCATCACCCTGACGGTCCTGCAGTCCTTCCGAAACTCTGGGAGCAACAACAATCACGGAAAGAAGAAAACCAAACTACGGGTCTTTTTGATCCTCCTGGTGTTTTCTGTGTGTTTTGTGCCTTTTCACATGATGCGCATTCCTTTCACAATATATGAAGTCTTTGACGTTGATGTTTGCACTCAAACGTGGCTGGCGCTAGTCTATAAATTACTCCTGTGGGTCTCTACCAC